TGTAAATATGTTAGTTCCAAAGAGCAATTTGCGGATATTTTTACAAAGGTTCTATATCACTTGTGGCATAATGACTTATGTGACAAGTTGAGCATGATTGACATCTATGTCCCAACTCGAGGGGGAATGTTAAAAATGCCATGAATCTATTCTTTAGTACCACAGGGCACATCTGTATTTTTCTTTTATTTTATTATTTTGGGTCACCCTAGCATAAAGACTAAAGCTAGCACCGCCAACCCAATATTTCGACTCCAAAATCTTTGTCTTTTCTTCTCTCCTCTGACATTCTAGCACCTTTTTTTACTAAGAAAACAGACATAAAAGCATGGAATAAATCTACTAGTGCATAAAAAGGACAGTAGCAATCAACTAAAACAACGAAGGAAAGAATACATGAGAAAACGTTTGAAGTAAGCCAAAAAGCTTTACTAAGTAAAAGAATTTTACAACTAAAAGACCGACTTCTCATGGACCCTCATGGTATTTATGGGCAAAACAACAATTAATGTAAATTAAATCATTTTTGCTACTTATGAATTAATTGCACTTATTCCCACTAACCTTGGAATTTTTTTTGAAAAAGTAAAATAAAAATTTCACTAAAATAAAAAGAAGAATAGATAAGGAAGGTGATATCCCTGAGAGATAAAATGACTGCTGACGTAGAACAAAAACAATCCTAGCGGAACCAGGGCCCTAATCTTCCCCTTCAAACACCTACTGATTGTCATCATCTTCATCCCACCTCCCACCTCCGTTTTTCTTTTCCCATCTCTACATCATTTTTAGCCGCTTACTCGATGGAGATACTTCCTGTTTTCTCCACCTTCCTCTCTCAATGTTCTCTATTGCTTCCTCCCGCTATCAACTCCCCAATTGCTTATCCGGGTTAGAATCAACCCAGGAATCCTTGCCAACAACATCTTCGATTGTCATCTTTGTAAGACTGCTGCCCCTTCTCTTATATACCTTGTAATTCTTTGTAGGACCAGTCCCGACCAAACCACATTTTAGCCAAGAAAAAATTTTGGTGACGTGAACAGTTTGAGAGCATCTTACTCCAAATATTCCACTGGGTTTTTTGGAGTTCACTAATTCAGCCACATCTAAAACATTCTTAGCCTCCCTCCTCCTCCTACCCACATTCACACCTATCTTTCCAATCACCACCTCCTCAAAGTAACAATGATCATCCATTGCACTATCAGTTTGGGGTAGGGCACAATGGCTCTTGCCAACAATTCCATTTCCTTCAATGCCAATTACACGATCACCTCCTAAATCGGCATCAGCAGAGCCTCTTAAATCCACCTCCCTCTCCTTCAAACCATTCTCAGCTTCTTTATTAAACTCATTTGAGCCAACCAGACCTTCCTTCACCATAGGGTTAGAATCCAAAGGTGACTTACCATCGAGCACCTTTTGATTCCCGGCTTCAACAACCTCCACAAGATCGCCCCTGTTCCAAACGCAGCAAGCAAGAACTTTCACACTATTGTTAGGACTCCGATCCACATCACAAGAAGCAAAAACCTTCGCAAACTTCACAATAGCCTTCTTCCTTTTATTGCCACTGAAAAACTCTCATTCCCCTCTTAACTCTTTTCCTTTTCGAACCTTATCCCAAACATATATGCTCGATCCCCTCCCACTAACAACCTTTGATCGTTTAAAATTCACTAGGTGCTTTCTATTGACCCCTAGCCTAAGTGGGACAATATTCTTCCTTCTGCTATTTGTTAGAGACTTTGGAGGGTGGGCCACAATAACATTTCCGTTCCCATCATTGGACACCCCTTCTATACACGACGAAGGAGACTTTTCATCTCACTCGATATAACCCATTCCTTTTTCCTCTTGGCCTGCAACATGTCCCACATCCCTTATCCTTCCTATGTCATCAATATCCAATAAATCACACGTGTGGCCAGCCTTGACCTTTTCTTTAGCCAACCTCAGTTGTGCCCCACTTCTCCCATTTTCAAACTCTTCCCCAACTCTCCCCTCTTTACCTTCCCAAAGTCTCGAGAATCAAATAAGCCCATAATATCGACCTCACTATCATCATTTATTATTTTATTCCCAAACTGCCCTCTTCTTCAACCTCCTGCTTTTCCTCTACTACCAGCCCATTCAACTTCTTGTTCGAACCAGCCAAAGACTGAGAACCACTCCCCTCCTCCTTCCCAGAAAACAAGTTACCCAACCAACCACCAAGATAAGTTCCTTCTACCACCACTCTTAAGTCAAAAAATTCGCTGCCAAATTAAAGCAACAAGATAACTGGAAGAAGATGAATTCCCTTCACCTCAATTAAAATCCGCACACAAACTAAGTTCTTCCACTCAATAGTTCTTGAATCTATGAACCTAAACTTCACACATGCATCCCCAACATCTCTAAACGTTTCAAAGCACCAAACATGTAGAGGAATGCCAAAGACGTTTATCTAGACAAAACTTGATGGCCCCATGTTTCTCAACACTCCGACTAGAGGATTCCATCTCTCCAACCTTAAATCTAGAAGCCTTATTTAATCTAGTTCTCAATCGCTTCCTTCTCACTGCTGAAGGAGAAAAGAATGAACCCCACACTAAGTCTCCTCACCTGAAAGGACCTACTTGGTTTCCATTTAACAACTGCCCAAGCCCACACTTTTTCCACGTCTGGTTCAGAATTTACAAAACGTCCAACCAAGCATTTGTTTAACAGCTTAAGCCTACCAAAAGTTCCTCCAGTTGAGCTAACAACTAGAGGATTCCATCTCCCCACTAACCTTGGAATTACCTATGCATAACTCCTAACTAAAAAGACCAATGCCTTATTAATTCCTAATACCAAGTATTGGTCCAACCTTCAATATTTAACTCATTGAACTTTGTCATTCCAATGTTGACAGTTGACTCAAGTCCCAAAGTTGGAATTCCAGTGTTCCCATCTGAAGTCTCCACCTCCCATACTTCTTCCCCAATGTTTGTTTTGTTGAAACTAGCTACCTTTAATGTGTTTTGACTGCCTAACTCAAACCACTGGGCCTTTATTGGATCTTGAGATCGGACTAAATGATGGACCTTTATTGGACCTTGTCATTGGGTTGAATGATCAGACTGGGCCCATTGTAAGCCCAAATATTTTCAGTTGGATGTTCCAGCATCACATATTACACTGATAGTCCTACCCATATCCCTTTTTTTTTAAATGGTAAAATATAAAACTCATTAAAAAGAAGAAGAAAGGAAATACAGGAGCCCATGTACACCAAGGAACTGTACAATGGGAATATGCAAAAAGGGATCATAATCTGTCCTCCCATCGTACCCATGTCTTTCTGTTGGAACCAAGGAAATGAAGTCATATCCAGGGTTCAAAGTATCAATACGCCTGATATGCACAAACATGCATATCAAGTGTTTCGGGTGAGTCAAACTATTTTAATTTTTTTAGTTTCATATTTTTACAATGGGCTTATAATATTATTATTTAACATTTGAAAAGGCATTTCAGTGACCTCCCAGAACGATATGATATGGGGTGTATCGTATCAATACTTTGAACCTTACTCATATTCCCGTTTTCCATATCCATGTTCATGTCCAAGCATATAAGGAGGGGAGTTTTTTTTTTTTTTTTGATAAGTAACTGTAAAATTTATTATTTATTATATCAGGTAGTAAATATCTTGTATATCATGCTAACACCTCTTTGTTCCCACCAGAGCCACCCTAATTATATCACACGTACAATAAAGCCCAAAATATTCCCTAGACACCCCTTGTTTTGCTAGGGTAACAGCCAAACCAGTTGCAAAGCCGATGGTGAATCTTGTTACCACTTAATAATCTCCTGCCCATTTGTTTGTCCTATTTGGGATTGGTTTCTCTCTCTGTGGTTGTAGGTGGACTCCCCCACCAAGTATACAAAGCCTTTCCGACTCTTTTGTTGGTAGTTGGACTAAGAAGAGGGGTAAGAGGGGAAGATTCCTGTGGAGGTATACTAGAGAGCAGCGATTTGTTGGACAATTTGGGAGGAAAGGAACCAAAGAATATTTGCTGAAAAAGAGAGAAGCAGAGAGACAATTATAGAAGTGATCACCTTTAGGGTGGCCCACTGGGTAAAAACAGTGAAGATGTTTGAGGACATTCCCGTAGAAACCATTTTGAACAATTGGCAGGAAGTAGCAGCCTCAGCTACAAGCAGAAGCATTGCTCAACCTTCATAGTCTCGACCTTCTGCAGGATTTATCAAGCTCAATTTTGATGGGAACAGTGAAGGTAATCCAGGGCCTTTAAGGATTGGTGGCATTTATAGATCAAAGGTTTGGTAATAGCTCTGTTTTCAGGCCCAATTGGTTTTGGGGATTCACTGAGAGCAGAAATTTTGGCCTTGGTAGAAGGAGTGAAAAAGGCTAAGGAACTAAATGTTAGTAGGTTGATCATTGAAGGAGATTCAAAAGTGGTAATTGGCTGGTCAGGTAAGGTAGATGATGGGTTATGGACATATATCAATGAACGAAGACAATTCAAGTGGCTAACTCAGGGAATGGAAGTGCGACTACAGTGGGTCGAAAGATGTACCAATTCATTTGTAGACGCACTTGCCAAACAAGGGGTGGGAAGAAATCATTTGTTTTGGGCTACATTGTAATTTTCTCATTGGAGGAGAGTTAAGAGAATTTACCTCCCACCACCATTTCCATTGTATTTAAATCTTATCTTTTTACTCATAAATGAAATCCTTCTGTTATTGATCAAAAAAAAAAAAAAGATGATTGACCAGACTGAACATGACCTCTACCTCACTTGCTAGATCTCTAATCTCCCTCCCTCATGATCAGCCTGTACAACCAAGCCTCTAAGCTGTTGTTGTTCATCCCAGGATCCCAGCTTACCCAAAACAGAATTCTCCCCATTATAGTGTCACCAAAAGTGAGAAGCAAATAATATTTTATATTCAGACAAATACACTAACAAAAGATATAACAGCAACTAAGAACTTACAGCATACAAGACTGCAACTATCTCAGAATGTGTCAAGGTCCAGTCTGTAGACTCATTGGTTGACAAAAATCCTGCTGTTACCATAAACAGAGCGCCAAATGTGTATGAGTATGCAGTCACTGAAAGGCTGGCTGGATATTTCATCAAAACTGGAGCCTGAAATTTTGCAACACCAAATGTAACAAGCTACATTAAAATGTTTCTTTATGTAAACAAGAATTGACTCCGACCCACAGTAGAAGGTAATATTTTGAACATTTTTATGGCTCCTTATTTCATCTAGATCTTAGAAAAGTTGCAAAAATTAAATTTGAAACAGATATAAGAATATCGAGGAAATTTCAGCAATAAACATTAGCTTTTAGCATTACCCCTTAATCCTAAAATTATTATTAACAGCCTCATGTGGCTCTTAGAGGCCCAACTTGAGAGAATGAAATATGATTATATGAAACAAATATAAGAAATACAAATGGAAATATGGAATAACATGGTGATATATACTAGGCAGTTAGTATCATCTCTTAATCCTAAAACCAGTGTTGTACAAGCAAGAAGTGTGACTAAATAAAGCGTTCCTAGAGCCTGAGGGACAAGAGGTAGTGTATGCTTGAATGAACATAGGTACCACTTTTGAAAAAAAAAATAATTATAAAATAAAAACTAATATACAAGTATATATTAAACACAAGAACAAATTATATATTTCATCTTCCTTTGACATAGCAGGCTGCTACCATTACATGGCCTACTAATGTCAACAGGATTTCTTTTTCACTAGATCAGCAAACAAAAAGGTCAAAACCTTGCTCTAATACCAAGTTAGGTAATTGGGTCAAGGAAGAACAGAGGAAGAAGGAAGGAAGAGAAGAAGAAAAAAGAAAGAAGAAAGATAACATGCACACCAAAAAACTAGGGCTATTGACCTTCTATTATAATTTATAAATAGGGAACATTATTTATAGTAAAAAGAGAATGACTGTAAATTATATGGAAATACTCAACAATAATTACGTCCAAATTTCACATAAAGGGTCCATCCCACCATCTACCATATGTTGATGTAGTTGCAGAAGACCCTTCTCATCCTCTCTAAGTTTCAAGTACACTGACCACCAAAATAAAAGTAGAACCCCACAGAACCTAAAATACTTGCATACTCCAAAGCGTTACACAGCCTAAGACAAAGAAAGATTCTCCAAGACTTCATCTTATGTTAGGGAGTGTTACATGGACTATCCTAAATAGATGAAATGTCCATATTCGACCTCCATCAGATTTCAAAGCCTTTTTGGATTCTTAATTAATCTTTATGCATATTGTTTTCTTCTTGCTTGTTTCTTGGTTGACATAAATGAACACCTAGAATATAAACTTCACTTTTCTTGTATGTAAGTAGAAAAGATAGACTTCTCCACTTGTGTCCTCTTTCTTTATGCATACACTGTTAGAATTCACAACAATCCAGATTTTTAATAGTAAATACTCATTCTCAGACATGTTCCCTAATCCACATATTTTCAATTTTCTAAGCCAGACTCCTGAATATATGATAAATTCCAACTCCTGTCTACTTATCCACATAATACTGATCACAGGACATGCATATACGAGCACACATTTAACCCCATTATTTACCATCTCCCAGTGGTTCTCAGAAAATGAGCTGAATAAGAGGTTATAATCTCCATGGTATGTGAATATGTTTCAAATGATAACAAATATATTCAAATACCATGGAGATTAGTAACATGTATAGCTTTGAAGTTAAGACTCAAATAATGATAACAAATATATCCAATCTCTTAGAGCAGCTGCTCTCCCCTTCTATGTCCCTTCTTATCTGCTGAATGATGAATATCGTTTGCATCAATTTGTTTTAAAGAGATTTTACCCAATGGAAGTATAAGCTTAAGAAAAAAGATTAATCAATCACCTGAATAGCTAGATAAGCCGCCATGCACATGCAGTTTCCAATTAAACATAAAACACCAATGTGCCACCGTTCAAGCCCAAAGTCCATCAAACTAGATACCAACCATCCAGAAGGCTCTGGTTGAGATTTTGCAATTATCTCGCTTTGCATTCCAAGATCCAACCCGGACCCGGAGTACCCCAATACAGCTGGGCCACGGAAGAGAACCATTAGTACAGCACCAGAAACACAGACAAGTGTGCCACCAACCTTCACCTTGCCTTCAGTTCTTGATAAATTGACTGTTTCTGTACTGCATGGTTAAGATTGCTATAAATAAGCAAGAAAGGTCAAATGAAGTTAAGAAGCGTCTAGTCAAATCAGAAAAGAGTAGACATTCATCAGACTTACCCCATCATTACAGCCAAAAGGAATGTAAACACGGGTATTGCAGGCTGTATGGCTGCCGCATAAGTTGGGTTTGTGTAGCTAAGACCAATAAGAAATAAAAGCTGATTGCCAAATATCCTATTCATTGGTTAACAAGAAAGCAACCAAATTCTATAGATCAGTCAGAGCATCTTTTCTAATTGATAAAAATTGTCAATAGCATGGTTAAGTAATATAGGGGTATCCTTACCCGGTTAACCCAAGAAAGAAGAATGATATGAGAAGCCGCCTAGTTATTGGTAATCTAATCCTCCTGAAAATAAGAAAAAAGAGAAGCATCATAACACAGTGATTTTGGCTGCCCGTATATTGGAAAGCAAACAATTCCAGAAGTCATAGAATCAATAATATGGAGAGAAAATTAATTCAGAAACGAGGAAATAAAAAAACGTAAGGCAGTCTTAGAAGGACAGTTAATACCCATGCATAAGGATATTAATATTTCTATGCTAAACTACATAGATGAATCTGCACTTCTGCAACCAACAATCGAAAGAACTTCATATAGTCTCAATGTAGTTGAGAACCTAACTACTTCTGTCACATGTCTCATGATTTCATTTTTTTTCTTTTGACACATGTCTCATGATTTCATATGGTAGTACCTAAGGCAAGCAATGTAATTGCCACGAGTATTTCCTTGCATTCACAAATCCGAATGGAAGATTCTATGTACTTGACGCCTAAGAAGCTTCTTGTCCATCAATCTGAATTTTTCATTAACAATATAAGAAAGACTAGACAATATAACTTTCCTAGTATTTATTCTAGTGTAAAAGTATTTAACGGTTGTCTGTTACTATTAACAATTTTTCATTAAACACTACGTGTAAGCAACATATTGTTTCATGCTTCAGTTACTATTTTTTTCTTTTTTTACTTATTCCATCCAGTCCAGTACACCCCTCCTAAGACCCCGAATAGCCAGGACCAACATTGGGAACCGGCCTTTACTTGTTGTAATGGCCAGTATTCCTTCCCCCTTCTGAAAGTGGCCAGCAGCTTTTCCATTAAAAGTGAAGGACGGTGAGCAAGGGGGAGTGTAGTTGTATAAGGGGTTTTTTTTATTGGAAACGGTAACTTCAGTTCATGAATAAGGGTATTGGCTGTAAGTTCCATGTGATTCTACAATAATTCAGTTCATGAATAAATTAATTGAGCATCTGACAAATCCAGTTCATGAATAAATTAATTGGGCATCTAATAAATTCTACAAATAATTATTAAATTTAGGCAAAATCGGCGCATCCATCAGTTCAGATTCAGTTATTGAAACCAAAAAAAAAAAAAAAAAATATGTACCTTTCTATCATTGCAAAAATTATTATTTTGCTGCGGTGACTCTTGACATATTCTAGCTAAGTGCAATTCAACCAAGAGAGAGAAATATCGCAGAGATTGACTAAAGTAGTTGAAAAAAAGGATAATTGGCAGCTTCAAAAGAGAAGTTCATGATTATAAATGATACAGTTATTTAAAGGGAAACTAAAAAGTAAGAGGCAGAGAGAAAGCAAGTGAGAGAGAGAGAGAGACTAACTTTTCACGGAAATAGGCAACTGGAGCGAGGATGGAGAGGGCAAGTACATCACGGAAGACACAGAAAACAACCTGATTCATACCCACGTTCAAAGCAACCTTGGTGATTACATGGTATCCCCCATTGAAGAGCTGTACCATCGCCAATGCTGCATGCGCCCTTCTCACTTCTCCTCCCCCTCCCCCTCCAGCTCCCCCTATTTTCTCCATCTTCTCTATCATACCAGTCTAGTTCCCAAATCAACCAGGGTTTGATGACATCGATCGTCTACTGCTTCAAATCCCCCCAAACCCAGTAACCCTCTTTCCTCCCATCAGCCAGCCTCACAGGACACAGTTTCCTTCATCTCTCTCTCTCTCTCTCTCTCTCTCTCCGTGTCTGAAATCCTGGCCCTACTATCTTGGGTTGTACTCAACTTCTGTAACTTCCAAGTCAAACATTATTCTTCCGAAGCCCTTACTCGTACAAAAGATTTGGGTAGACCGTCTTGGCCTCTTGGGTTACATACATTACCATTACACCATACATAAACGGATAAACCTACACCAAAAGGGTAATTATTGGGGTCACCATCGGGTGACTCAGTGGCCTGACGTGGCTAAATTCATGGCCACGTGGTATGTCATAGCCTGATAGCCGCTTATTGTGGTCACCATGGTGACTCACTGTGGTCTGATGTGGTCACAATCATGGCCACGTGGCATGTCATAGCCTGATAGCCAGTTAGTTCTACTTCAAGCTGAAGCACCTGCTCTGCTCTAAATAGGCCACAAGTAGGATTTGGGCCTAACCGGAGATTGGCCCATCATATAGAACTTGGAATCTCATTAACTCTGGTTGTACAAAATTTATATGGAAAGATATTTTTGTGAAGGGAACATGATTGTCAAATTTGATTGTCAAATAAAATTTTATCCATTGAATTTAGACCGACCGACTCGTATCGGATTCTGATATTGAATATTAGTAATAAATTAAATTAAACTTGATACAAAATAGGGAAAAGTACGAAACACACAATGCAGAATTCTGAATTTCAGCCCCTCTACAACTAGCCCTCTCCCCCCTATAAATCACATTCTGCCCATGAATTTGGCATCAATTCACGGTCAGGATGTATTCCCCCCTAGTAAATTCTGATCTGGGTAAATTCTGATCTGGGCTGATTGGTACTTCTCCCTACAAAATATTATGTCATTAACAAAATAAACTAAAAATGAATTTGTTATTGCCTATAATGAATAAAATAGCTTCAATTTACCTTTTATTATGAGGTCATAGCCTTTTTTCGGTAAACACATAAGTACACGACATTTAAACAACCTTTATTATTAAATGCATATTAATTTTGTACAAGCATTAAATGTAAACGTGTGAGATGTTTATTTAGGCAAGAGTACAAATATATACAAAACAATATAAAAACAAGGTAGTCTTCTATTTGTATTTGTATTCCGTTCAAATTGTGGAAAGAGTATAAATACAAATGTATATACAGTATAAATATATACAAAATATAAAGTTTTGCACTTTATATATTGGCATTTGTATTTCTTTTGAATTGAACCCTTAATTTGGAAGGAGTATAAATATAAATATGTAGAGTGCAAAACCTTTAGGCTGTGTTTGATTGCAGTGCAAATTTATTTGCACTAGTTCAAATGCATGGAGTGCAAATGTAAAAAAAAAAAAAATGTAAATTCTTGTTTAATTTTGCTTTGGATTTTACTTTATCCTGCTTCATGTTTTAATTTACTTCATTTGTACTGCAATCAAATAAAATAAGCTAAAATTTGAAACAAAAAAAAAAAATGTCAGAATTTATACTCAATTCATTTGCACTGCCATAGTTTTGCATCAGTGTAAATTCATTTGCATTGCAATCAAACACAACCTTAGGCTCAGTTTGAAAGGAATACAAATACAAATAAGTAGAATGCAAAACCTTGTATATTGTACTATTTTGCATGTACTTGCACTATACATATTTGTATTTATACTCTTTTCAAATCGAGCCTTAGGTTGTGTTTGAAAATGATGTAAATGCATATTTGTACAGTGTAAATTAACATTCTACCGGTTTCAAAAAATGCAAACCAGTTTACTTTTGCATGTTTGATTTCCTCCCATCTTGTTTGGCAGAAACTATGTAAAACATCAGAGCACTTTTTGCCGGCATTCAGAAACCTATAACGATGTAAACAATAAAACAAGCATTCGACTGTCTTCTCCCATCCCAGTTGCATCAAATAACACAACAGATTTGAAACCTCTTATCTCAGTCCCGAATGACTAAACTATACAATTCCCTTAATCCCAAATCATCCTATGCGGTGTTTAATCAAACCAGAAATTAGCAAAACAGAGCCTATGTCTGGTATTCAAACCGCTCACGACAAGCACACAAAGATACTTAGACATGAAGATTTGGGAAGCAACAATGTTAAACAAAACAGATATAAAAGACAAAAGAAAGAGGTACGATGAACCTATTACCACATCTGCCATTGGCAAAAAATTTCATAGAGAATGGCTCTACAAAACCCCATCGGCGTCTCTAATTATACATCAGCCTGATGTGGGATGTTGCAATAGGGGATTTGAGAAAATGGTAATACCTCACCGGAAATTATCATTGTTGTAGCTCAAGTGGAAAACAGGGGATGAAGAAACTAACCAATAGTGTCGTATGAGGGAGAAAATGAAGAGGAAATCTGAGGAGAATCACTATCATATGAAGGAAGACAATGGGGATGCAATAAATGTGAGTAGATTGGCTTTACCTAACGCCGCCGTCAGTGTTAGGTTGAGATGTGAGGGACGATGAACGGTGGATTGAGCAATCGATGGAGAGAAAGAATGAGAAGAGAGAAATCACCAAACCACCACCACTGCTAAGAGTTGTAAAAAGGAGGACACAAACGATGGTTGTAAGAGAGATATGAAAGTGAGATGATGAGAGAGGAGAGATTACGAGAGGGAAGGAGGTTGGGGGTAGGAGAGAATAGTTCGAAGGGAGGTGATATAGGGTGATTTGGCCCGACCTAATAATAGAGGGACACGTGGGCACGACCTAACTGATAGGACGAAAGTTCATCCCGACGTACCCAAGTCTGCGATGGACCAAGCTCAGATAACCGAACCACCTCGGAGCAGGTTCACCTCGGAAGCAAATTCACTTCGGGACAAGTCCACTTCGGGGTACGATTGCATCAAGATCACCTCGGTTACCAGGCACCTCGGCATTCGTAACATGTCGGACCCGGGGGGCATTAGTTCGGGTAATATTGACTGGCCTCCACATGCTGACCTCGAAGATCTCATCACCGGATTCCACGTTTCACGGGATCACGCCTCGTAACAGCTGGCCTTATCTCCTTCGACCGATTCAGACGGCAGCGATATGCCTTATCGGTTGGTGATGTAATCTCCTATTAATACGGTAACGGGCCTCATCACGGCAAGAATCCTGGAACCGCTCCGAAAAACCCACGATGACTCAAGTATATAAAGACCCCAACACCTTGGGGGCAAAGGTACACGCAATCCCTACTTACTAGCTCTCTTGCTTTCTAAATTACCTTCAACTCACACATTACTGGCTTAAACATCGGAGCGACCTTACCGGGTAAGCACCCCCAGGTTCTCTGATTCTCTCTATGCAAGTCAGCCAACTCTGTCATCTACTGGAAGCCAAATCATCTCCAGCTAGGAGCGGCCAGATTGTGTCGCATCAGGAGGGAGTTCGTTGCCTCTTTTGCCATTGTTGTAGGTTGAAGATGAAGGTAAACTCTTCACCTATTTCTATCGATGGAAATGAGCGTGAATATTTACTTCGTTAAAATCAAAATAGTTTTTCACCCGAAGGTCGAAGTAAACTCTGACAAGATTTCAAATTTTTTCACATCATTTCCAAAAACATGCAAATCTGGACCGAAGTCTAATAATACACCGAACCGACAATTACATGCGTTTGGAAACGCAGCCTTAACATTCAGCCATTTAGGGAAGGTATTACCTTAACACACTTAATTAGTTAACTGATTTTTTTAAGTTTAAAAAATTCAGCCATTTAGGGAAGGTATTACCTTATAAATGTGTCTACATGTCCTAACTCCAAGAACCGATACATATCACATAGATGAAGATGTATATATGTAGGCTGTCCTCAATAAGATCAATAGACCTCACATGCACCCTGCTCCGTCCCCAATGTAGTGCATAGATCCATATAAAGGGTGGGTCTGGTTATAATTCTAAGTTCAATAAGCAAATAGCATTGCCAGCACTATCCAATTAAAAATTGTCTAACGTGCTGTATGAATTGATGGTGAACGATTAACCATAACCAGGTATACAACTTACCAACATGCTACGCCTGAATTTGAGTATTTTTAATGCATTAAAGGCCCACGATGAATGGTGGATTTATTTATTTTTGCTCTCATGTCAATAAGCACATATAGAGTAGATTCATGCAATTATGTCAAAAATATTAAGCATACCTTCCCATATATCAAGGGTTGGTTGGGAAAAGAACAAGTTCAGCCCTTTCTTCCCTTTTCTACATTGACGGGATGCCAAAGTTGGTTGTACAGTTGAGGCAACAGTAGTCTCTTGAGGCCTGCAGTTAATGTAAAACTTGAGTCCAATACAAATGTCCAAGCATCAGAAATTATAAAAAAAAATAATAATAATAATAATAACCTGAAATCAAGAATCATTCCTAGAAACAGTTCTTTTAGTTTAGAAACCTCAAAATATCCCAGAATACCAAATCAAAAGTAAATTGCACATAAAGAATGGGAAAAACTATAGAATGCCAACAAATCTATATTATCCAAGTATCAACCAAAATCTTTTGTAACTCATAATCAGCCCATCCAATATCAAACAGATGTGAAAACCAATCGGCATAGAAACTCCATTTACCAAGCTAAGGATGACATGGTTAGAGAATATCAGATTAATGACACTTCTAACAAGACATCTATGGCAGATAAAAATATCAATTAACAATTATACCAAATCAGAACATCTTAAGTATGGAGAACTCCTCTAATGTTTGTGAGTGACCTTATATCAAATCAGCTTCCCACCAAGGATCCAAATTCTAACATCCCAACTGATTTTTTATGTCTTTGCAATGTATTGTATATATATATCCCAAAAGCTTATCCTTTTATAGATTGTAGAGCCGGGCAAGGCCACTCTCTGTTAACAATAATTAATTAAATACTTAGGCATAAGTTCAGCCAAATCCAAGCATTCATATCTATATCACCTACTGAATTTTTTACCTAAGCAGTAGGCCTCCAAAATGCCTAAGCAAGGCATTAACTACACTCAAAAATTTTTGGCCAAGTAATTGGATTGAACCCAGATAGGGTTAATATCCAAACTGAATTCAATCCATGTATGTCCAGATATCCATTTTATTTCAAAGCTCATATACCTATACAGAACCAACATAAGCCAACAAAATTAA